CATGATACAACGAGGTCAATTGTGCCACTTTGTAGCGCAAGACGATCAAAATTGAGCCAACCTACCTCCTGCTCCATAGTCGCAAGTTCCACCTTAGCATTAACAACCCTTGAGCCAAATCAGGGTTATCTTTGGGTTTTCCCAAGGTGGGGAGATGAGCTTAGCAAGGAAGGCCCACATATGGAAGGCTTGAGTAGGAGATGTATTGGAGGTCCAGTCTGTGCTTAAGTCACCTCGGCTAAGCATGGACATTACTTTCTCAAACTTAGATCTTGACGGATGTCAGCTCCCTCACAATGACCTTTTGGATGTAAAGGCCATTATAGTCAACAAAACGATCCACAAAGTTTTTATTGATAATGGCAGCTTGGTTGACATCATTTTTGCATCAGCCTTTAACAAAATGGGCATAAGAAGGGACAAGCTCGAGCTGATGAAAACCCACCTACTATGGTTCTCAGGGGAAAGAGTGCTCCCAAAGGGCTTTATTCAGCTCGTTCTCACAATGGAAGAACCCCCATGTCAATCCACAATAATTGTGAGTTTCTTGATGGTGGATGACCTTTCAGCCTATAATGTTCTTTTGGGAAGATCTTTCCTTAACGCTATGATGGTTATCCCGTCTACTTATCACCTGGAACCCATTCAAGTAGATGATGATCGAGGTTACCTGGTGTATGTAGGTTCCAGATTTCTTAAAGAGGTCAAACACCTCCTCATCTAATTCCTGAAAGCAAACATCGAGATGTTCGCTTGGAAGCAAGAGGACATGAAATGAACTGACCCAATAGTCGTAGTGCATAAACTCAGAGTTGATCTAACCTACATGCCCATAAACCAGAAACAAATAAGCTTTGTCCTTGAGCATCAGAAAGCTATAAACGAAGAGGTTTTCAAGATTTTCCATGCCAAAGCCATCAGGGAAGTGGATTACCTGACCTAGTTAGCAAACGTGGTTCTCATGAAAAAAACCAAGGACAAGTGACAGCTCTGCATTGATTTCACTGACCTAAACCATGCTTTTCCTAAAGATAGTTTTCCACTTCAAGTATCAACCTGATCGTAAATGCCATAGCTGGACACGAGGTGCTCAGCTTCATGGACACCTTCTCAGGATATAACCAGATCAAGATTGACCCCAATGACCAAGAGAAGACATCATTTTGTAATCGACCAGGAAACATACTGCTACAAGGTCATGCCATTTGGGCTTAAGAATGTAGGGGCCACTTATCAGTGGTAGGTGAATCGTATGTTCCATGAATAGATCAGGTTATCTATGGAAGTCTATATTGATGATATGTTAGTGAAATCGTTGAAAGACGAGCTTCATATCTAGCACCTCAAAGAATCTTATTAAATATTCAAGAAGTATAAGATAAAGCTCAACTCTACAAAATGTGCCTTTGGAGTCTTTACAGGGAAATTTTTGGGTTTCATATTCAATAGTTATGGCATTGAGTCGAATCTTGAGAAATTCCAAGCATTGATTGACATGCAGTCATCCACAAGCATAAGGGAAGTTCAACGTCTGACAAGAAGAATAGCTGTGTTGAACCACTTCGTCTCCAGATCAAGTGATAAATGTCAACCATTCTTTAAGGTACTAAAAGCAGCTTTTCATTGGGACGAGTGATATGAAGAGGTATTTGAGAAGGGGAAGTCCTTACCCTGTACCTTGCTGTGTCGAATTTCTCTATAAGTGCAACTCTGGTATGTTGTGAAATCATAAAATTTGAGGTTCGGGATGGTGAACTTGCTCGGGATCCTTCCTTGCTCAATCCATCTGGTAAAAGGCGAAGCCTCTGTTCCTCACACATATTCACCCGTGAATCTTTGTGCTAGGTCCTTTGCTGATTTTTGCTTGGGCCTCTTCAACCCACCGTTTAGCTCTTCAGTGATAAAACATTTCCATGCATCCTCCTGATTATCAGTTTGGTGACTCTTGCAGTCAGTTTTTGAGAAGGCCTCTCTTTTCCTCTGTCTACACTTCTCGGGTTTTTATTGTCATCGACTTCGGCCGCATTGAGTGTCTTCACAATCAATATTTCTTTTCCTTGCTTTCCTTAGTTCATCTCTTAGTTCCTCATTCTCTCGCCTTAGAGCCCTCTCTTTTGTGTAGGATTTTTTGAGCATTGCATTGTGCACGTCCAAGCGGCCTTGTAAGGATTGGACTAACTTCGCAATGGCTGGGCTATCCCCCTCGGCATAGGGGGATTCATCCCATATAGGGTTTTTGTTATCATCAGGTTTGAAATTCGCCGATGACAACTTGTTGTCGTCGCGTTATTTGTCTTGGCTTTCCTACATGTCCACCCTAATATCACTATCAGAGGGGAATGAGACGCCTTAGTCTAGATCAGAATCTTGTTGAGTGTCAAGGCTCGTTGGCAATCCAATGGTACTCTTAAGTCTTGACATTTTTTTTTCATTTGAAGTGATTTTCCCACAAAAAACACCAAATTGTAAGCAGTGAAATCATATTTACCTATTACGTTGATAGATAGATATAGTTTCTATGTGTTTCCCCCTCTCTTTCCTACAAAATGAGCAAACTTCCTAGGACCGAAATGTTTCGATCGAAGGCACTCTGATGTTCAAGTCAATAAGGGTATGATAGAAATGTGTATGCAGAGAAGGTTATGCGTACCTTTTACTGTGCATCTTTGGTCCTTTTATATGGTCATTGCTCTTGTTAGGGTTCCCATTATTGAGGAATCAAGGTGGCACACACCTTCCATCAATTTGAAAGGTTTGTTGCGGATTATTAGAATCTGTAATAATCCCTCCAAATGCTCCTCCATTTGCCTGGCTCTTTTTGAGTTGTTGATGGCGCTTGTTCTTTGTACCAAAATCCCTTGATTGTAGGTGTTCCTTGTGATTGCGTTTAAGCTTGTTCGAAATAGAGCTCGGCTATGCTGGAATTGAACTGTTACTCATGCTACTGAGCTCACTGTTTTTAGCTCGGCATTATGAACCGAGCTCTCACTGTTCAGTTCAGGCTGGAGTTCCCTATTTTGCTTCGCAACCCACGTGCAAAGTCTTGTCATACTCGCGTGAGTTCATTAATTATCTTCTACACGTGGCATAATTTTATCTCCCTTCAATAGGGTAGGGTAAGATCGAAATATTGCGAAATGGATCGGGTGGACGAAATTTTAAACACTCCTATGATTGACAATTATATCTAGGAGATATAGGCAGAAGAGAGTCATTCGGAGATGATGTTTTGTTTTGCCCTAAAAAAGAATCAATTTAGGCAATCCAAAATCATTCACACATCCTTTTCGATTATAAAATACAGGTATCTAATGTAAATCAATGCTATTTTATTGCACAAAATTAAGACAATAGACAGTATATCGTTATACTTCACCTATATTTGGGTTAGATGTCTTCTTTAACTTAGATAGGATTTGTAATTATTCCTTTTGATAATCTATTAATAAAATTTACTTTTTTTTATTGAAAAAAAAAAAATTTAAGACAGTATACACTGTCAAGGAACTTCAATCGGTGAGTTTTGAGTCGCAACTAGGAATTCATTGTGAAATTTGAACTTCCAAAATAGGTGTCTCATCTACTCTCGGACAAAAAATTCAGTTAAACGTAGTCTGACACACTCATAAAAAAGAATTCTACATCAACCACAGAGCAGCACTAATTGTGAAAGAATCCACTCCCACACCCCCACCCAAATACGATTTATAGGCGAAAGAAAAAGAAGATTGTTAGATCACATTTTATGGTTGGTTAATTTCATAAAGTCTATTGTAAATTTTAATCTTTTTCATGGTCATAATTCTATCAAGTTGAAGATTCAAAAGTGTTATTGAAAAGAAGAAATCAAACATCAAAACAATATCATTCAAACTCCGTATGCACCTTCATGTTTGAAACAAAGGTAATGACCTACATACCTAAGATGAACCCTTAATTATTTTAACTTAAAATAATTATGATTAAATGCAATTGAAAGCAATCTGTATATGACTCCTAGATGTTTTAAAATGAAAAAGAAAATTCTAAATAATTTGGTGTTTAGAAAATATAGATTAAGTCAATAACGGATCCCTCCTGAACAACACCCTTTAGTGCTCAAGAAAACAAGCTTTTTACTTGATTTTATACTTAAAAAACTAGTGAGGACCACACTCTGCTCATTAGCTTTCATTAAAACAGTCTCTTCATAATTTAAGGAAGAAAATGCAAAAAATACCACGAATGGTCATCTTTTAATTTTATTAATAAAAATGTATTGTTTTGAATTACATATCTATATTATATTTTAACAGTTTTGTGGTAAAAGTAACCTAAAATTTTGGTAATTAATTTGCTAAAATGACCTAAAAATTAATTATTTAAAGTTTAAAAATTTGTGAGGCATTCTCCATTCCTATCCGAACTTCCAATCCGGTTTTTTGGACAAAATTTGGCTTAGAACATTTACCCTTTTCAAGTAAAGTCCGCCAAACAAATAGGCTTTCAGAACTCATCAGTTCGAAACATGAAATCCAAAAATTCCGGGTGAACAGCCCTAGCCTCTTATAATGCAAAATGTCCATTAGGAATTTTTTTTGCATGCCCAATGTTTACATTACTCCTTTTTTGTTTATGATTGCTTAATTTGAAAGCTAACAGATACACATTCATGCATAATGTGTAGGCAGTTTACAACCCCAGAGAGCACCAAATTACGTGAGAAATCACATACAGTCTTCAATGGGCATATAAGTAGACTCATAAACAATACTAGCAATGTGCCATAAGAACTAATACTATAAATCTCCTGTAGTAAGCTTCAATTCATCTTAATCTTATCTCTAATTGCTGATTGCGTATGTAATGCTCCTCTGAATGTTAATTCGCACAAGAGCTTCTCGTTGTGTCCTACCATACTTAGAAATGCTTGAATCCCACAGTTTTAAATTAGGAATTGACAAATTATGCATTCATACACTGTAAATTCAGTATAAAAAATACACTGTAAATACAACAGCACATGACAAGAAATCGTAAAACGATACCCAATAGGAATTAAAATAAAAACTCTAAAATGTGGCACCATGCAGACAGCTAGATGCGGGCAAGAACTTGCCGTAAATTTGTGACTGCCATAGAGAAAAGATCAGAGCTGACAAGATGTCCATAATCACTAGTACTTGTTTAACAGAGCTCACCACTGCACAATTTATACCAATGCCATATCACAAAGCTTTGAAAAGTTGCAGCAATCTGAATATCAAGCTCCCTAGAAGCGGAATAACAAGAAAGACACAAAAACGGGGAAAAAAAAAAAGAACAGATTACTCATGAAGGCCACATAATAAACAACTTGTATTGCAATAAAAAGTGAAGACTCATCACAAACCGTGTTGGAGAGAGCACGTAGGCAAAGAATGCTTGTGGAATTTCTAAAAGGGCTGCGACCCTGGGAGTCTGGGCAGTGCAAAAGTACCAGCTTAACCAGAATCAGTTTGTGCGAGCCCAATCAGGTCCTTCCCTGGAACACACATAAGGGAGAATCAAATCAGGAAGTGAAACAATAACAAAAAGTAAAAGGCCTAATATATTATGGGAGGGATGAAAATGAAAAAAAAAAGAAAAACAAATCAGTCTGAAAATATATAAAAAGAATAGTTATCCTTTCTTAATGAAAAAACATAAAAAAGCAGAATTGTTCCATACAAACAAAAATAAAAAATAAAAAAATAAGGGGCTAGAATACAGAAATTAGACTTCATGCAACTGAACCTTTCAGACCATGTGGACTGGCTTCAATTGCATCTTGGATGGGTTTTTCCAATACAAATTATCACAAGAATCCACCAACTACTTGCATACTCCGAGATCTTTTTAGGACCTGACTTATTTATCTTCCGCCATTCTTAACAATCAATCCATGGTTAGATAAATTCATGAGTTACCAAAAAGTCGATTCACAGTATAGAGAAATTTTTGTCGAGAAAGTCCAAGTCAAAGCAGAAAAGGAGAACCAAAACTAAATATCTATCCCAGAACAATAATTATAAGCATTCATCACAATTTCCAAACTCTGTTACTGAGCCAAACCCTCTAATCAATGTTACTGCTTTTACCAAGAACAGAAATTAATGTAAAATACTTTTAAGGAAAAAAGGGCTGGTGTGATATAAGAAAACTTACCTTGAAAGCGACTAAGAAATACTCTAAACATCCCAAAAATGCAAGTGAGTTATTTATATCTTTATTTATGACAAATTGCATCATCAAACAATCCTAAGACACCATATTATGATTTCTTTTGCTTTAGAAGTAATTTCAGTCTCTCTTCCTCTTCAGTCTCTATATTACTGATATTATTGTGATGTATTCAAATGTTTTTGAAAAATAACTGTTCCAAACAACAAGCGCTGCTCTTCTTATGAAAGAAGGGTGCTGCCCATAGTACACAGAACCAACTTTCCACATGGCACCACCTACTAATTTCTTTCCATTTTTTCTATTATATCTATGCAAAAAAATGTGTGTATACATATATAAAAATGTTAATGATGCTACCTGATTATCCAGTCAACTTACTAGTTTGCTACATACATAGAGATGCACAAACCCAAGTTGACATATTTTTCAACATGCTACCAATGGTGACAATAAAATACATAATGCAGACATGTACTCAAGGGTCAGACATTTTCATAAAATTGCAAGGGGAATGGATCATCTCATCGGCAAAATGGATTGGGAGATTCTGTTATTGGAAAGAAGACACTAATCATTTCATTGAGCTTGGAGAAGAGGAATGTCCCTAGGTGTTCATATTTTTTAGCTTGACTACAAGGTTGACAGCTACCGCAACTGAAAAGCGGTCCAGCAGAAGGTCTGATTAGGAAGGGTTTTTGTTTCAACGTTGTGAGCTACTGCAAAGCAATTCATCAAGAGTATAGGAAAGTCTTATGAGGAGGAAGTTACTGAAATGTTGGATCCCTCAAAGTGGCAACTACTTAATTCACTTGTCCCTGAATTTGCTTCAATCAAATCAGAACAATGTGGGTCAGTTTGAGTTCATTGTGGTACAAACAATTATGAATTTCTTTTCTTTTCATGCAAGTGGAACTTGAATTCATACATGCACCAACAGTAACATTTCAAATTTAACCGCAACAAACAGGAGTAAATCTGTCATGATCAGAATTAACACAGATAACACCATTTTCACAACTATATATTGAATCCAAGGAAGCTCTTGTTAAACAATCTCCAGGATAAAATAAAAAGTTTTCACACTAATATTTTTCAGGCACGTAACATGCAAAGCGATCATTTCATCATATTGAACATATAATTATCAAGGGCAAATGAAATAAAGAAAACCTAAAGAGGGAAAAAATCATAAAGTGTGCAAGATCTTCGAAGAGAGAGTTACATACTGGATGTCAATATATAGCTCCCGGGAATTTCAATTACGCTTATGGCTCATGTACTAGGTGCATAATATTCGACCTCCTTGATGTCCAGGAAAATAGTGAGATTACACATGCATCTCTTATTATTCCTTTGCAGCATCAATATATAGACATTATAATGAAAACCAATAGAGATCTGTTATTTCAACTTATCTCCAGAAGTTTGACCCTTTTATTTGTGGGTTGAAAAAAACTGTATCCCAGATCCTTTCTTAACCTTCGATCTTCCATTAATTTCCGTGTCTTTAATGCACTGTCCCACAATCCAGCTGCAGCATACATGCTTGCTAGAACCACATAGTTTACTGACTTCTCAGGTTCTATATTAAATAGGTGCCTGGCTGCAATTTCTCCAATAGACATATTGCCATAGTTACTACATGCCCCAAGAATGGAACCCCAAAGTGAGGCATTAGGCTTCATATTTGCCTTACATATAAGATTATAGGCTTCTTCTAACAGACCTCCTCGCACAAAGAGGTCCACCATACACGAATAATGCTCAGCTCTTGGCACAATACCATATTTGTTAACCATACCATTAAAGCATTCCCATCCTTCACTAGTCAAACCGTTATGGCTACACGCGAAGAGAAGAGACAAGAATGTTACATCATTTGGCTTCAGCCCTTCATATTCCATGTTCTTATACATTGTAATTGCCTTATGTCCATGGCCATGCTTCCCATATCCAGAAATTAACGATGTCCATGAAATAACATTTTTCTCTCCCATCTTATCGAAAACACGTTTAGCATCTTCAATTTCTCCACATTTTGAGTACATATCAATGAGAGCATTTCCCATGGCCAGATCATGGCGGGGTTGATATTTCAGCGCCAAAGCATGCATTTGTCTTCCCAATCCAAGTGATGCGGTATTGGCACATATATTGAGCATGGAACATAATATAACATCATCGATTCCCATGGCCATTTGATGCACTTCATTGAAGAGATTTAGGGCCTCGCTGCTATAGTTACCTTCTTGTGCATATCCTGTGATCAATGCAGTGCATGATATTGTATCTTTTTGAAGCATACTCTTGTAAATATGATTTGCACTTCTCATGTTTCCACATTTTATGTAAGCATCAATCAGCGAACAAAGCAAAATATTATGTGATCCAAAACCCAATCTGGTAATGAATCCATGCATCTGCCTCACCTTCACAAGACCACTAACTCCAGCAGAGGCTTTCAGAAGACTTCCCAAAGTGAAGCAATCAGGGACCATGCCTACACCATTTAGTATCACAATGAAGGCTCGAAAAAAATATAAATGGAATATACTTCATGGATAATTATGAGGCAGCGATCTTCAAGAATACAGTTAAATGGAAACGATCATACCCATGTATGCTAACAGGGAACAAGAGATATCTGAACAAGAAATTGCATTTAGTCTGTTCACATCGTAATCTAATTAAAAATCTCAGTAAAGAGTTGTTCATCAGATTGCTTGTGAGTAATTAAAGAGTAATAAACAAAAAACTTTCGCTCTTAGCTTATGATGTAAATATATGAGCAACGGGACCCTTAACATCTTCTCCTCATGCCTTTCCAGAGTCTTGTGACCTTGCAAGTAATCAAAGCAATGAAACTGCTGCATCACTTGGAACAAGTGTTCAATTAAGGTACCACATTAAGTGTCCACTTCCAATTTTGCACTTCCCCATATCCATGTATATTAATGGTATTGGGTATAGAAACCCTGTTATTCATGCTCATGCAATGATCTTTCTCAAGAAATCATCTGGACTATTCTTTTTGATAAGAAATCCTCTGGCTTATTCACATCCAATCATAATGTTTGTTCAATACATGTGAGCACATTGATAATAATTAGAAAAGTCAAATTATCTAACAGTATGAAAGTACCTTCTCCCAGCATTGAACGAAACATTTGAAAGGCATTGTTGTCAAACCCCTGAACAGCATAGCCACCAATCATCGCATTCCAAGAAACTAAATCCCTATCCAGCATCGACTCAAAAACATAGCAAGCATCCTCCATCTTCCCACACTTAGAATGCAAATCAATCAATGCACTCTGCACAAATAGGTTCCCATACAACCAACTTTTCTGAATGCACCCTTGTATTTGCTTCCCTCTAGTTAAACACATCATACTCGTACACGCCCTCAATGAGCTCCCATATGTAAACTGATTCGCCCTAACACCTTCCCGATGCATCACTGAAAACACAATCAAAGCTTCCTCAAAGTTACAGTTTTGAGAATACCCCGATATCAAAGCAGTCCAAGAAACCACACTCCTCTCAGGCATTTTATTGAACACTTCTCGAGCAGTGATCATGTCCCGAATTTTTGAATAAAATATAATCAGCTTTGTGTTGAGATAAACATTTGAAAGAACCCCATTTATTATGAGATGGTTGTGGATCAAACGACCTTGCTTTGCCGCTTTTGCATCGATGCAGAGTTGCAAAGTTTTTGAGTACAGGGAATAATCAAAAGGCCTTGTGCTCACCATTCCAATCAGCAGCCCATGGGTGTTCGCATTGCTTCTTAGAGCAGGAGGATGGTACCGATGACGGTGGGCGCCCGTTAGTGTGTTAGAGAAGGATTAAAAAAGTGTTGGGTTGGGTTGTGGTGCGAGAGGCTGTGTGGGACTGGGAGGTGGGAGAGGAAGGGAGGCTGCACGGGCCCGGGTGAAGGGATCTGGAAAGAGCGAGGGACAAAATGTGGGTTAGGCACGTTTAATGTTGCCCAAACCCAAACTCAAACTCAAATTTAAGTAAAAAATTGATTAAAAAGTTTGATTTCATATAAATTTTTTTAATGGACAAATTTAAATTTAAAGTAGACTAAACCTAAATTTAAAATAGAGTAAACTCAAATTTAAAAGAATGTGAAATATGACCATTGAATCTTTTAAAAAAATAAAATCTGACGATTAAAGATTTGAGTAAATATTTGAGTTTTACTTCATTTGAGTAAACAATTAAGTCTCCCTTCATTTGGTATAGATTTAAGTTAAAGACTGAAACTTATTTTTAATCTGTTTTTACTCAAATTTAAATTTAAGTAAGAATTTGAGTAAGGAGTGTAGATGGTCGGTAATATTGGATAGTTTTTAAAATTTATTTATTTTGAGTCTAATCCGGTTATAATCCCTAATTTATAAATATTTCATATCCAAAAATATTTATAATTCTTGTTTTTTTAATGTGGGATAATATTTGTTTATATAGATTAGAGATGTCAATCATTGAGTTAGAATTAAAAACATAGTAGAATAATTTACTATCTAAATAATGTTAATTTTGTTGCAATTAGAGATCTAATTTTGTTTGGCAAGCAATAAAGGTTTAGACATTCTTATAATTTATCCCCCAATTGTATGAATTCTATTTATCAATTCAATTAATAATATTTTAGAGTGTTTCGATTATTTTCAAGCGGATCAGATTGTGTATTCAATACATAAAAAACAATACTTTGTTTTGTATTTTCATGAACGCTACCTCAATTGTTATCAAAGTAAAATAGTGATTTCTCTTTATTTCTATTAAGACAATTAGTGTCAAATCTTGACAAAACTGTCATTATTACCAATCAATAAAATAGTGACAATCTTTTTTATCGCCAGGATCAAGTGGGAGGAGGCTCTTTCAATAGTCGAGTTCTTCAGTGTTTAGCGTGAGACCAACAAGCTTATCTTATCATGATTCGATTAATTGCTTAACAATCAGAACAAATCATAATCCAAATCATAATAGAGTTCACAACAACCATAGAACTTGTGTTCAACTTGTTTAAGATCTGAATTCTATCAATATCAGAAGACTACATATTTATGACACAAACTGCAATGATGATGATGAGTATGCTTGAGATATGTTTGATAGTTATGACAATACGAGAGGATACAAAGGATGTGGTTATGAGTCTAACAGTCTTTGTGAGAAAGTTGACGTAATTCAATTTTAATCATTATTTTTATACTTAACATTTTTTAAATTGGTTAGTTGATAATAGTGAAACGATTATTTGATTATCACTGAAATTGCTGAAAAGAGGAAGGTGGC